CTCATTATAGGGATAGCCCTGCAAGACATATAAGAAGCCAAGTATGTGATGGTGGAGCATTGGACCCCACAGTGGATGAGAAATAAGTAGTCACTCTAGCTGTTTTGAGGCAGCTCACTGTCATCTGGGGTATCACAAAGAATCCCCTAGAGTGGTCTGTAGAACATTGACAGGATGAGAGTGCCACAAAGTTTCAACAAGTCCAGTAAGAATTATATACATCAGACACATAAAAGGAAACCCAACACATTTTGGGAGCTCACAAATTCCCCTTCATCAGTGGTAAGAAATAAGGTTACATGTTTTGTGGGCGCAAAAAAATACCCCTTCATTAGGGCTAAGATATGGGGCCATGTAAAATGGAAGCCAGTTGATGACTCCAATGAGAGGTTCCAATGCAGCAGCACTCTCGATGCACTGACGGGTTAAAAAAAAGTTTGGTTTCAGTTTCCATTTATGAAAAGCAGCATGGGTTTAGACTTTTAAGACTGTACTCTAAATTGTATACACACCCATGTAGCATAACACCTAACCAAATTAACAAAGTGACAAATTGACTGGAAACAATTGTTTTCAATTGTAAAAGTCATTCTTCTGAGACCAAGGCAAAGTTGACATGGAATAATAATATTCTGCATCTTTGCATCATCGGAATAAACACAAAGGGATGAATTAAGGTGAACGCGCTAGAGTGGAAAGAACAGTGATGGGTAGGCATTGCCAACCATCAATAAATTAGCTTTCAGCCGCTTACCGTAGTCAGGCAAATAATAGATGGTGCTTTCTAATTGGCTGCCAGGATCTGCTGTACATCATTTAACTCTGCATGCTGTTATTGTGTAAGGACATTTTTTAAACGTCTGTTTAATTACATTGGACTTTGAGAGGTGTGCAAAATATAGTTGGAAATTAAAAACCAAGCTCTTACTCTAAACCACTCGGTATCTACACATTGCACACTGTTGTCAATTGAAAGGTTGCCCAAGGACATCCCAGACCAGCTGCATGTATGATCTGAGTGCCCTAAGGCACTGCCCATGGCTGCCCTATACAAAATATTACATGCACAGATGAGCATAATATTTGCAATTATTGAGTGGAGATCTGTGCAGATGAGGTTGTTTATTTTTTTTAAACTGGAGTTACCCTTTAAATCAGAATAATATCATTGTATTCAGTTACTGTGAACTTGAAGAGGTAAAGTATCACACCTGCAATACAAATCTGCACACATCTCCCTAATTTAATGCATGTGCTTGTTAAAAGCATTTTTACAGGAAGAGGACCATCCCCTTAAAGGTAAACTATATTTTCAACATTTCTAAGCAGATTTTTTTAACTATTTTATTTTATAAATAAGCATTTAATACAGGGTGCTTCCATTCTTCAGTGTCTGCTAATGCATACTCAATCATCTCATAAAAAAGCTCAGCATTAGCTGACTGCTCCTGCAGCCAAACAAATGTAGATCTAGCTTTTAGGTGGACTGTTTAACAGATTGTTACTTACATATCAAGGCTTGCCCCAATGCTTTTTTCTATGTATTATACATTATGAGAAAGTCTAGCACTAGTTCTGCATTTGCTGACCACTCCTGCAATTTGACCATCTAGATGACATGATCTCTACTAGGAGAGGTGTCACGACCCTCCTTTGGGTCATGTGTGTGTCTGTAAACAGAAATCCCATGTTTCAAGTGTATATTCTAGGTTTAAAATCTCAGCACAGTTGTGAACCAGCTACCTGGAACCTTGCAGTACCAGACTCACACTTGTCACTTTCTAGTCTGAAAGGAGTAAAGAGGTAAATATAACATAGTTAGGTTCAAAGTGCCATATCTGTATTCCTAAAAAAATACTACATCTCTCACTTCTTCAATGAATACCATTGCACCCATGCACAGTTCTACTGACCTCGACTGTACCTATGCACTTCTCCACTGATTGCCACAGCAATCACATTCTTCTCCGCTGACCAACCAGTGAAATGGCTCACCGAGTACCATGAATGGCTGCACTATGTGCACTGTCTTATACAATGTATTTAAGGTATTCAGTATTTAACCTGCTCAACTAACATGCACACCTTTGCTAGTACATACAAAAGGGGTAAAGGAAGTTGATTTTGCTGAAATGCAGAAAGAAGCTCCAGGAACCATTTAAAGCCCAAAAGAGAAGAAATGCAATCATCTGGATGGTCACATAGACAGAGCCATGCATTGCAATGACAGTGAGAGCGATGCACTACCAGTGATGGGCACTGCTCTTAGTTCTGTAGAGGTAAATGGGGAAAAAAGTTCCATCCTTAATACTAAATTAAAAAAAAAGACTTGGGGGTCATTCACAGCAGCCCACTCCCTTTAATGTGTGCAGGTTGGTGTGTGTTTTGTAGGGACAGTGTAATGCAATGTTACAATGCATTACCCTGCTTAATTTTTTATTTTAAGCTCATTGAAGTGTTACAAAATGACACTTCATTCAACTCTATGCACTGCATTGCATGATGTTGTACTGAGCATTGCGCTCTGTAAAAATACAGACATGCTGCATTTTTATGCAACGCACCCTTATGGTGTGAACAGGGCAATGAGAAAACAATTGTTGAGCTTGTGTTGATCAGCTCAGCTCAACATACCCAGTGTGAACCTTAAAATGACACTAAACTCAGGAGTTAAATCTTAAAAATGTATTCAAGTACCATAACTATTAACAAAAATGTATCTTATTTGTGTATCACTCGGCTGTAGATCCTCAAATCTTCTCTGAATTGGTGCTGACACTGTCCTTCCTTCTGGAGGGGGGCTACTTTTGTTCCCCATGGTCCCTGTGTGTGTTGTAAAGTAGTCACCGCTCCGAGCTCACTCCTGTGATGGACTACAATCTCATGTTTAGTTTACTACTTTGTACTTGCTATTATAGTCAAACACAAGAGTGAGCTTGGAGCAGTGACTACTTTACAACACACACAGGGACCATGGGGAACAAAAGAAGTAGCCCCCCTCCAGAAGGAAGGACAGTGTCAACACCAAAACAAGATCTACAGCCGAGTGATAAAATAAGGTAAGTTTTTGTTAATAGTTAAAGGAGAACTATAAGGTGAGTTATGTTGACTCATCCTCATAGTTGGAGCCGATGTTGATTCTGTCACGTCGGCTCCATAGATCGGGAGGTGAGTGAACACATACCGTCACCCGCTCACTTCCAGATCATCTCCCTGCAGAGATCGGTCACTGTCAGTCACGGCCCCCTTCCCTCTCCAATCCTCCAGCGCTAACTAGAGGAACGGACGTGAAGGGGGCGGGCACAGAGGGCTCTGCCTCTAGATAGGCAGATCCCACTGTTAATCAGCCAGCTGGGTGAATCTCGATATATAGTCAGGATCTGTCCCAGCTGCGGCACTCTAACTATATAGCTCGCTATATACTGCGCTTTGAGTCATAGGAGGACGTTGGTATATGTCCTCCCATGACCCTAAAGAAAACGAATGGATAAAAAGGTTACCCCATAGTTCTCTTTTAAGGTACCTGAATGCATTTTTAAGATGTAACCCCTGAGTTTAGTGCCACTTTAAGTTTTAGGGTCCAGGAACACAGCCTATTAGACCGTAGATCAATACATCATTATAATCCTGTATTGAGAACACTGCTAAAAAACAACAAAAGCCACCTTAATTTTGCCTTCAATTCCAATGCATTTGGGCAAAATGGCGAATTATTCCGCCGCATTGTGCCTGAAATTTTAGGGAAATTAAAACACTCAACTCTGCCCCTCCTTAGGCATAAATAAATCAAATGGTAAAACACAACACATTCCCTTTAAATGCTGCAGACAATGGCCTCTTGCTGATAATTGGCTGCTCCCTATCCAGCGGAGCTGCAGGACACACATCTGCCTGGGCTGCACTAGAGCCCGTTTAAAGGCAGCTGTGACTTTTCGCTGGCTCTGTAGCTGACTGTGCGGAGGGGGCGGTGCATGGAGTGATGTGCCCAGGACAGCCAGCCAAGGTGGCTGATCTGGGACTCAGCAAGAACAAATTAGTCACTGATAGGGGATTGGCCACCCAAGTCAGGGAGGAGATAAGAGGTCAGGGTTATTGGTGGCCAGAAACTAAAGAGTAGCAGTCAGATATAGGAAGGTCATCACTGCAACTGGGTGATCAGGTGAGGACCAGCAGATTTTTTTTTTTTTAGATATGAAACAACTAGCTTTTTTTTTTTACACCACAGAGACACTGGGCTTTGGCAGTCAAAGGGTTAAGTCTACATGCCTTGCACACTATTGCAATCACATCCAGCTACCAGTGCTTAGCGGTGTTCTCATTGCACTCTAGCAAGATTATAATGATTCCTTGCCCAATAAGCTAGTGAGTGCAAATAGTGCATCCCACTCACTGTCATTGCACCGTGTGGCTCTGTCTGTACGACGCTTCCACCCATGGTTGCTCTGCTCTTCTTCTCTTTCGCAGCTTAAAAATGAGGCTCGTATGATCCACAGAGGAAAGCTGGACTGAGGATCGGCGCCTGCAAGTCCTTTGCCTGCGTCCACAACTTGTCTGCTCCTGCAAAAGAAAAAAAAAAACAACTCCATCCCTCTTGTGGAGGTTGCTGTTCATCCTCTCTGCTGTCTTTTACATGCAGTTTAAAGGGATCTGGCTGCCTCGCTTGCCTCCCTGTTGGTAGAGGAGCATCTGAGGACCAAAAGCTCTAGCAAGACCCCATGAGGCTTCCTCACTCCCGGTTGTCCCTCCTGGTCCTCATCTGCCAACTGCTGTCCGTCACTCATCCCTTGGCCAAGCCAAGCCACTTCTGCACAGCTTTGACCATGTTACAATAACCTATCTATGCAGGAATGTCTATTGTGCACGCAGATGCTACTTCTCTCTATCCAAACAGCTAAAGAAACAAGAAACCAAGAGCAAGAAACCTTCAGATCTCCAAAGGAATATCTTTGCTTCGCCTCTATATCTTCCCCCTCTTCCTGTATATATATTTTTTATTTTTTTTTTCTGTTGTCAATTTTATACCCTGTTACCCAGTTTCGGAGCTGCACAGATGGCTAAGTGCATGAAGATTTGATCCATTTCAAACGTGACCATGTGGATTAAACAGCTATTAGGAATAAGGTAAGGAGAACCTTGACACCCCCACTTCCCCAGTTCCCTAAAAGAATCTATTTGCCATTTGATATTATGCAATGCTTGTTGTGCATGGTTACTAGTTGCCACTTAGGAAGCTGTAATATCTGCAAAATATTGCTTGATTTTTTTTTTTTTTTTTAACACAGCGAATGCATTATGCTGCATATAAAACGTTAATGGATTATTAACCTCTTCATTGCCAAGAGCAAGTTGCCTTGCCCCGCTGGCACCACAAGGGTATAAAGTGGACGTGCGTTGGCTATTAACTAATGCCATTATGCAAAGATAAAAAAAATCCAGCTCAGACTTCAGGTGGGGGAAACAAAAGAGGACAGACTTGTATCTAAAGTTGTCTTGACCTCTGGCTTAGACACAAGTTGCCAAGAATGCAAAGTGGATTAGTAATGCTGTGATTGCCTGCTAGCCTTTTGTGACAGTTTGTGCGCTGGATGTATTCATTATATAGACGTGTTCCTCCAAGGTGAGGGGCAACATGTTTTTTTTTTCTTTCTTTGCAATAGGTACCTGTGGCATACATCCTGAAAGTGCCCTGTGTGGATAGTGTTGTAGACAACAACAACAAAAAAGCAAATAGGTCAAAATCATGTTTTATGTCATGTGATGCAATTGCATAGGGCATGCATGCTTATTCTATTATTCTCAAAGCACAAGCATTTGCATTGCAGCTGCTTTGTTGATAATAATAGGTCATCTAGTCATTATTGTGAGTTAAAGAGTTTGTTTTTCTTTTCTTCATACGTTTTATTGCAAGAGAAGTATCCATTTGTCTTTCTTTCTGCAATTATCTGTGAAGTTTTGGGGTATAATGTATGCATTTTACACTACAAAAATTAAACATACCTGCTATATCATTGTTAAACTCTCCCTGAGAAAGTAAGCACAGTTTGGGTTTGTGATCATAAATATTTACAAATATAGAGAAGAATTATCTTGCTGATGATATTCATTTGATACTATATGGCTGATTTTAGTAAAGTTGAAACAATCATGTGTTACATCCTTTGACCGCCAGGGGGCGGTAGACTCCAGCAATAGAGACACAATGCAATGTGCACCAAATGTATAGGTTTGCCTTTGTGATACATTTTTTTGGGTGCTTTTGTATATGGTAATAATATGAAGCAGCTTCTGTTGTGTGCCACTAAATGCGGGGAACAAATGAGGTTTGCTGGTAAATCAAATTGGCTTTTTTTTGTTTTGTTTGCAGGCTGAGATAGGTTGCAATGGACATAATTAATCAATTCATTTGAATAGAATGATAAATGTGGTCTACAGTGAGCAACTGTCGATTGTTATAGAAGCAGGTTAAAGAGAAAGGAAACATTGTGATTTTCTGGTAGATGCATCACACATTATCTTTTTGCATATTTGCATATATCCGAAAAATAACACAACTGTGATCATATAACATTTTTATTTAATTTTATATTTTTTATTTTATTTTATTTTTTGTGATAAGGCCAATTTATGGATAAAAAAAGAACTTTGGGCGTAAATTTTACTACAAAATAAGTTCACAAGTATACACTGGCTACATAAGTTCTGCAGATACATACAGAATAATCATTTATCATAAAGAGACAACTATTCCTGGCAGATTAATTAGAGGTCTGTGGGAGATCACATTAAAAATGTGTAAAAAACTAGAAAGTAGTGAAACAAACTCTAAACTAATTAAAATGGTGTATTTTGGGGTTAAAGTGTATGGACGCCCTAACAATAAACTTCTCTTTTGGTAACTATACCAATAAGTATAAAAAAAAAAATCAAAAAAAAAATCTGTATTTCAGAGCTGTCCTGTGTCCTCTATACACTTCCTGTGTTCTACAAAGCCTTATTAGCCTTTCAGTTCTTATCTTAGACTACAGATCCATTATGTTGTGGAGATGAGAAAAAGGGCCGTGATCTAGCAGTTTAGCGAAAGACAATGGGCAGGGCTGTCACCATTCAGTCCACAAACATCCTGTGTGATGTCCTGTAGGATCTGAGTGGATTTCTGGTACATCATTACCAGAAATACAAGTATTTTCTGTACTTGCGGTTTCTTTAAACTGATAACAAATGGGGATATGTGTATCTATTACAGAGACGTACTGCTTGTTTTTTTTTTTTTTTCCTGATGTACATTTCAAAGGAATCTTTTTTATGAGAAAAGCTTTTGACTTCAAACTCTGCAGATGCCAATTGCCTGGCTATCACGCATGGAGGCTTGTTAGCTCCTTTATGCTGATTCGCTAACCCAAAACAAGTATGCAGATAAGGACTTATGACGTTATTGTGACTTCCCTTATCTGCATACTTGATTCGAGTCAGTGGCTTGTATTGAAGCCAGAGGATCAGCACAATGGCCATGCAACCCCCACATTTCTTTTGGGAAAGGTTTTCTGTAATGTTAATAGGAATCTTGGAATTCTGCAGGAATGAGCACCAACAAAGGTGTCTGTGTTTACAGCTAAACAGGAAAGGTATCAACACTTATCACAGCAATCCAGTTCTCTATTCATAAAAAAAATCACAGCATGCATTTTTCTAAACAAAGCTTGTACGCAGTAGTTACCCCAATGTGTCGTTATTAGACATGTGCACTGCCAAAAAATTTGTTTAGTTTCGTTTTAAATTCGGATTTGTGTTATTTCGTTTTTCAGGATTCGGTTGTGAAAGTCAATTCGGATTCGGAATTCGGATTCGGACGAAATTCGGTAGCGCTAGTACGAACGTTCGTTTCGTTTTCTGTTCTTATTCGTTTCTTATTAGTTTCTTATTCGTTTCGTTCGTTTGCAGCAAAAGTGACATTTGAGGGGGAACAAATATTTTTCTCCTTCTCTAATGTCACTTTGCTCCAACGAACGAAACGAATAAGAAACGAATAAGAACAGAAAACGAAACGAACGTTCGTACGAACGCTACCGAATTTCGGAAATGGAAATTCGGATTCGTTTGCATTCGTTATGTCTGTAATTCGGAATTCGTATACATCCGAATGTCCGAATTTCCGAAAATTCGTCCGAATTTCGATTCGGAACGAAACGAATCGCACATGTCTAGTCGTTATAGCAAATTCCTGTATTCCCTACACAATAATAGAGACCGGTAGGGGGAAAATCAGCCTTCCTAACCAAAAAGGACTCTGTAGTTGTCAATCTAACACTTGCAACATGCGTACAGGAGGTGAAAGCTTAGGGAGAGTCTCATTGATTTGTTGTTTCTCATTCACTGTCCAGTCAGCTGGCTGAATGTGTGTCCTAGACACAGCTCAACGTTTTACATATTTCTGTAATCACCGCTCATACTCACTAGTCCCCAGTTCAGTGGGATATTGACTGCGCAGCTCTTTGGTGATAGATTACTGGATCAGGGACAGGTGAGATTTTAAGAGGGGACGGGGGACCCTGTAGAACAGGGGTGGTGGAACCTCTGGCCCTCTAGCTGTGATTGAAACTACAAATCCCATGATGCATCTGTCTGTGAGAGTCATGCCTGTGGCCAGTGGTGTCAAAAGGGGGGTGCGAGCGGTGCAGCCTGCACCCGGGTGACACCATTGGAGTGGTCCATAATAGAAGTCACCAGCACTCGATGATATGTGCAAGAAGTAAAGCACTTTTTATGAAATTGTAACATGCGTCATACAGTCAACATTTTGGGGCCACTCAGGGTCCCTTCTTCGGGGCGACACATTAGAGGGGTGACACCAAAATGACTGACACTGTGCCAGCATCCATCACCAAGATGGCCGCCGGCAGGTATCACCAAGAGGCCGCGTATGCGCAATAATGTTTCGACGGGGCTTCACCCGGTATCCGCCCCGGATGATACTCGGCCTCGGGACGCCCGTGCCTGTGATAATTTTGCTTCTTCATGAGATTTCTAATTTCACTACAGCTGGAGGGCCAGAGGTTCCCCACCCCTGATGTAGAATATGTGCAAATGCGTCAGATTACGGCTGCTCCCATATTCATTTCCTTAGTTAAGGGACATCCATCAGTTGGTGATCCTCATCAGCTATCATTATTTTGAGTCCACCAAAAGATTGCTGGTATCTAAAACCTGATATTTACATATTTAATGACTTCCTGAGGAATGAACTAGTACAAGCTGCTGCAAACAGGAAGCCCAGCGATAACTTTTGATGCAATTTGGTAGATCTGACAAAAATATAAATCCATTTTATTTTCTACTGTGGTAATAAAGGCATATTGTGGCATTGTGGATATTCTGTATCTATGTGAGATGGTTAACTGATCTGTAATGGACATTGCTGGGTCAGATTCACCACCCACACGCACAACCTATGTAATCATAAATGAATGAATGTACTTAATCTGCTTTGGAATGTACTTTCCTTGAACTCGGGTTTCTTTGTGTTAAGTCACCATAATGCAGAAGGCAAGGGATGTAAAGAAGATATCCAAGAAATAACACTTAACAGTGATTTTATCTGACAAGGGTGAGCACAGTAATACAAAGGGATGCAGAAAGATAATTGATAACATCTTTTGTAGAAAAGTGCAATGTGGAATTGCTGAATACACAATGAGTGAGCTAGTGTAAACTGAAGCAAGAGCTCTCACGTGCACCTCACACACCTTTGGTAGGTTTTTGGATCTATTGACAGCTGTAAATTTGATTCTGAATTTTATATGGCATTAAGTTTGGACTGTATTTCGTATATACCAACGACCAAATCTAACTTTCAGTATTATTTTTGGCGGTTAGCGATTTCCAAGTTGCTTTGTAGGGTAAAGGGACCACGGGTATTGCCAAGGGCTGTCTTTGAACTCCAGGGAATTTTTTAGTAACCCTTGCAGTCGGGCTACCCAGTGGCGTCAGTGGAGCAATTTTAATTTTTCATGGCATATCTTTACAGTGCATGACTCCATATTGTACATGTGAGTTTTCTTACCCTGGATCAAATTTTAACTATTTATAATAAATGTTAATGCATGAGAAATAGGCGCTGTCTCACT